AACTTCCATTTAACCCACAGGTCAGAGAACATCTTTGGTACTCCCTCCTCCATAGCTCAGTTTACATAGCTCCTTTAGCAGTTTAGCAGGCAGAGTGAAGGCTTTGAAGGGTTTTTTCTGTGTGTTATCTGTCCAAGATAAATGTAAGATAAGATTAATTTAATTAAAATTAAAATTAAAATTAATTTCCACTTCTAAATCAATATGAATACTTCAGCAGACTTGCATTCAGCATGTTTTTATTGCAGTCACATCATTCCAATCCTGGTATGAAGTATTATATTAGGCACAGGGATGCATTGTAATTTCCTTGCTCTGACAATCCGAATCAATTAATAACAATCCAACGTTGAGTCATATTCATTCCAATAGTGCTCCTAAATTAACGTTTAATCCTCCTTTAACCAATTAATTTACAACTTTCAAATTGCAGACAGTAGTTTGTAAATTTTAGAAAGTTAGAGTTAAGTTAGTTAGAAACTTTGCAAGGTTATTTACCACTGCATTATGTTTCCTCCATTGGCCTTTATCTTGATGCCACTGCTTCAAAACAGACACACAAACAGTCTTTAGACCACTGTAGGGACCACGGTATCCATCTGTTAAAATCCATCTGTGTAAGTCTCTCTAGGGCTGAAATGAATAGACTCTTGTGTTTGCTTGAAAAAAATGTATGTCCAGATGTGATTCCAAAATAAATTTTGTTTCTTTATTAGATTAGATTAGATTAGATTAAATTGTATTCATCCCACAATGGGGAAATTTGCTTGTCGCAGCAGCAAGTAAGTAATTGGAGTGAAACACTGTGGAGGAGTAATAACAATCATCTCCTTCATCTTGCTAGTGTTTAGCTGAGCTGGTTGAGCTCACACAGAGTCCCTGATGAACATCCTGTATTCCAGTTCGTTCCACTCAGAAATACATCCAACAATGGCACTCTCTTCCATTTCTTCCATCAAAACTCTCTCCTTGCATTCACAAGTGTTGCATAAAAAAACAACAACAACCACTAAATTATTATTGTAAACAAAAAATAATAAGTAATAATAATAATAAATTAAAAATAAGTAAGCAGATTTAGAGATGACATGCAAGCTGCACAGTCTAAAGACTGTCAGCCACAGTGCTGGCTCGCAGCTTCCTGCAGGGTTACACACAGTATTAATAAACGCACACACAATACAAAATGGCCAATATAAGAAGTGATCAAATATATGAATAAAATAATATTGGCTCCTACATTATTCATTTATTCTTATTTATTTGGGGGGTCTGTAATAGGATTGCTTCAGTTATAAGACCATCATCTGTGAATGTGTATTTGTTTTAAAATAAATAAAAACTGATTTGAAAAGAAAAGAAATGGCTTTGATGTAAAAGGCTTTGCAGTCTGTATCTGCAGCATGTTATTTGATGGGGGTGATGGTTGAGCTGGAATAAAAACACAACTGCCAGTTTTGATGAGATAAATGACCAGTGTTATAGTTAATACACGGCCCATCGCACAGACAGAGACTGGAAGAACATGTGTTCCAAATGGCAGTGAAGAGGTTCCATGGTTGCTTTGTTTGTCTCCAGGTGTATCATTTCTATACAGCATCATTTAAACACAAACAAAACCTCTAACTCTCAAGAAAAGTTGTTCACAACTTTCACAATTTTCACTCAAGGATTACTTCCAAATCAACCATTCTACTGAGGACACAATCACAGATCCCTGTGTGATAGATGTGGTACTGCTGAATGATCACTATCACACGTACACTGATCAGCCATAACATTCTGATCACCTGGGCACCCTGGTGGTCCCATACCAACAGACTGCTCTGCACTGTGTGTTCTGACCCCTTTCTATCAGAACCAGCATTAACTGTTTCAGCCAGTTTGATACAATAACTCGTCTGTTGACGACACATCGGGGCACTACTCCCACCTGCATTAATGACCTGTGGCCCCACTGCCTGTCTCTGTTATTCTCCTGTCTAGAACCACTTCTTAAATATACCTGACTCCTGCAGAAGGAACACCCACAAAGCTCAGTTGTGAGATCTCTGGGTAACCATCGCAATGTGCCGTTGTCAAAGTCGCTCATCTCAGCGCGCCCCATTTTTTCCTGCTCTACTAACACAATCAGGCCTGAGGCAACAATGTTCCACTTGGCTGCTGATATATCCCCCCATGACAGGGGCCATGCCATGATAACCAGATAATCACTGTTATTCACTGCCAGTGATCACATGACTGATCTGTGTATTCTGGCACTGTCCAAGTCATTTCTGATGTGACATATTTAACTGTTTTTCCAAATAATGGAAAAAGGATTGGCAATATTTGGTTGCTCTAACAAGACAAGGGCCCTGTGATTTATTTGCCTAAGATTTAATTTAACAACCCAAACTGGAGTGACAAGATGGTTATGTAACAGGAGTGGACTGTCAGATATAGTCTGACACAATGTTTTTTAGTTCATATTCTTTACAATAAATTAAAAGATAATAAATATATTTTGTGCTTTCTAAAACTTGTGCATAGACTTCTGCATAGTTACTTTGTCAGTCGTTATAACAATGAAGTATACACAGCTTAATTAACCCTATAGTTCTACATTAGAGAATGAGGCTTAATCAGATTAAGGTGAGGTGGAAGTCAAGCTTTTTCACATGCAGAGAAAACTGGTTTTTATTTGTTTGTTTATTTGTCATATACAAAGTTGAACAATCCCACAGTGATACAAAAATTGTTCATGAAGGAAAAATTACTTTTTGATAGATCACCAAAAATAACAAATGGGAATCTGTTAGATTAGAACTGGATCTGAAAGTACAACTGCCTTTTAAATGAATGAGAAACATTTAATTATTGAGAATTAAGCTCCTATTTTTTCATGAAAACATGAAATTCAGACTGAGACTACTACAGTTCGACCTACTTTATAAAGTTGCAGATAGTAGCTCCAGTCTATATATACAGCTGCTGCTTAAGTTACACTGCTATATTGCTTGTGTGTGGTGAGGGGGAATACATACCACTTACCAAGCCTTGCTGAGGCTGTTTAAAGTTAGACCGATGTATAGGACTGATATGAGTTATTTGGTGTACCTTGGGGGTGTAATGGAGGCTCCCTCCTGTCCACTACAAACCACTTTTATTTTTTATTAATATATCAGATGTCAGAGAAGACATATTATGTGATCTGAAAAGCTTTAGAGCAGTGATTCTCAACCTGGGGTCCGGGGACAAAAGGGGTACATATATAACCAAGAGATAAATATAGATAATATAATATATAAATCTGACAAAATTTACAAAAATAATAGTATGAATAAGTATAAATAATATTTGAACTAATAAACATTACATTATTGTGGCACATTAGTAAAGCAGTGACATTAGACATCAATAATTACTTTTATTTCTAAATCCTTTCCTGTCTTTTTTATTGGACTTATCATAAAACTCATCTATAAAAGATGTAAATTTGGTTTTTAAATTTGACAGCATTTGGCAGCTGTGGTGGCCAGGCATCTAATAGGGGTGACTGTCACCACATGCCACCACTCTAGATCCGCCCTTGCTGTAAAAAAAAAGCTATGATGACGCACAATATTGACCACTGGCACATTTAGTAAAAGAAAAAACTAAATGTACTTAATGTAATGTGTGTAGCGATTGGGATCTGATCAGAAGTCAGATTGGGTGAGATTCAATCAATGAATCCTACATGGAGCACAAAGAGTTAAAGATGAGACTGCATGTGTGTTGTTATCAGTCAGATACACACAGTGCTGAACGCTGAAGGCTGTGTGCACCTCAAGGTTTGTCCACTTCAGGGACAAAAATAGTCCCTCTCGTCCACACGTGGGAGCGCATGTGAGATGGTCATGTGCGTTGAACACAACAACAACAAAGCCGTTCAGCCAATCAGATTGCTCCTCTCGCTCTCGGCCCTGATTCACCCTGCTCTGTTGTCCGCCTGGCTCACGCTCCGCTGCTGCAGTCTGTCGCTGTCGTTTGAGCGGTAAGCGCGTGAGCTTCAGCCCTGTGAACATGTCAGAGGTTCCGCCCGTAGCTCCGGAGATGTCACGGAAAAGAGCCGCGGAGCCCGGACCTATACCCGAGCACGCCCCGGAGAGGAAGAAGGCCTGCTGGGGCATTCTGACCAGCCAAGGTCGGTACATTGCTGTCTCTGGATAAAAGTACAGGTTGTTTATGGTGCTGGTGCGAGCAAACCTTGAGGATATAGCAGTCCTGTAAAAAGACAAAAATAAGTGTAAAATTAAATAAAAAAATAAAAAAACGTTCAGTTTTGTACAAGTTCTTGTAGCTCATGGGCTACACTGTGTTTGACATTTGATACTTGGGCCTCACACTAATTTTGCTCCCCTTATTTACAACTCTTGACAGCCTCAAGTCCTTCAAGGTCTGTCGAAAAGACAGAAATATGAAAACAATGTCATTTTTTACATCAAACCTCTCAACAAAGCTTTTAAAAGATAAAAAAATTATACATTTTTATAAAGATATTTCCTATCTGACATTATAAGAGCCAGTGACATAGACAGTGCAAAGCTCCTTTTCTGATCATTTGAACTGAAATGTAAAAAGGGATGGAGTTACAGGCAGGAGCCCTTAAATAAGTAATCATACCGTATTTATTTACTGTATAAAGTTGCATTTTTTTCGAGCTTGTTTTATCACGCTGTAACTACTGCAAAATGAACTGACATGGAACCAATACCCATTTTCTTTTATATCCGTTGTACTTTTCTGCCAGTATGGACGTAAAATAGCTCTTAAATTGCATTCATAAGGGTAATTCATTCATAAAAGTCTGTTGAAACCTGCAGAAACCCTGGAGTGAGAGAGTAAAATGGCATTATTCCCAATTCTGATTCTGATTTAATGCTTCTTGTCACAACATTGATTTTAGCCATTTTAAAAAGGTATATTTTAGGTTAAAACTCTAAATAAAATTCAGAATACCACTACCGCTACTGCTAATACTACCACTAATAAAGATATAATATATTATAATAACATGCAGGATTTGAATTTGATTCAAATATCACAGTAGGGTCAGTTCAGTATAATTTAGGTTAATACTGATTGTAATAATTGTACAATAAATAAGTCAGGACACTTTCACATTCATCTTTTCAGAGGTGGATAATAATGACAGCATCATATGTGACTTTTGGGCAATATCAACACCTAATACCGATATAGGGTAAGCTACTGCTACAGCTCACATGTCCTGACCCTGATCAAATTATTCATGAACAGAGAGAGACGAGGTGCCGGGGTAAGGGACAGTGGTAGAATGAGAAAAAAGGGGGGAAATAGAGGAGAGAAGATGGGCTGTGTATTAACTTTGCGCATGTCACCGTTAATTGCAAGTAGGCCCTTATCTTCTACAAGCCATGCTATTTGCTTCAGACACATGTTTTTTCAAGCAAGCTGTGTAGAAGGATGGACAAAATGATAATACTGTGAGATGATATATATTTGACAGATTAAGCATTGCACTCCTGTAATATTGACTCATGATGGACAGTTTGCAAAAGGGACAAGTAGAACCAGAAATATCGTCTTTTTTATTCCACAAACTCTATTTCCTTGTCAAAACCCAGGGCCTACATTACCCACAATCCAACTTTACTTCTGACAGTTGGATAGAAGACTGGGGCCTGAAATCAAGTCTAATTTGTGCCACTTTTATATGTGGTCCAAATCAGACTGGAACCGATCAGATTCCATGTGATTTGTGTTGTTCACACTGTCATAAAGAAATCAGATCTGAGTCACATATGAGCAAAATAATCAGATTAGGGTCACTTCGCAGTCTGAGCACAGCCTTTGACTACAGCCCAATAACCAATTAAGCAATTAGTTGTCAACTATTAAATTAATCACTAACTATTTTTGCCTTGAGTCATTTAAGTCAAAATGTCAAAATTCTCTGATTTCTGCTTCTCAAATGTGAATCTTTTCTGCTTTCTTTAGTCCTCTATGACAGTTAGTTGAATATCTTTGGGTTGTGGACAAAACAGGACGTCACCTTGGACCAAACAAAAAATTATAAAATTAAATTTAAAATTATTGACAGAATAGTCGATAATGAATATAATTGTTAGTTGTTATTAGCATTTTTTCATACATATAATATACAGCATAAGGTTCCCTTCAAATATATTTTTGTTTGTGAACTGGGACCAAGATGTGTAATATAATATGGAATGAATGGTATGATATTCAGAAAGGTAGTTAATGTGGGAGGAGTGGAAGTGTCTTCTGTGGCCATCTGTGCTCATGACCTTTCCAAAATGGCTGCTGGCATGTACCACCCAGATAAGGCCAGGGACACAAATGAGCTCACAGACCATCTAAATATGGCCGCCTCCCTCTGTAAGTGTCTGAGCAGATTAGATGAGGATAAGAAGGCTTTAAGGCACTGCTCTGCAGCTGGTTCAGTGCGCTGAGCAGATAGGTAGTGTGTCAGAGATTGCTCTGCTTCTGGCAGATCATAGATCCAGCTATTTATTCATGTAGCTAGTAAGCTAGCTGGTTGTTATTTTTAGAATCTGCAGTTTGTTGTCAGTGTAGCTGCGAAGGTGGTCTTCCAGTCTGACAGACTCTGCATAAGGACACGTAGTCAAAATGTCTTACATCTACCAGTGGCTGGACGTGCCGTGGGGAGACGGAGATATGGGTATGTTGCAGATAAGACTGTGTGTGTTTATATGGTGTATACTGAGGTGCACTGACTGCTGCACAGCTGTTGAGAAAGAGCTCACTAGCACTAAATATACCAATAGGAGCAATGCTAGAGGCCTGCTACACATTCAATTCAATTCAATTCAGTTTTATTTGTATAGCGCCAATTTCATAACAGAAGTTATCTCAG